CACGTGGTCATGTTTTGGGACATATGTAACTAAGTAAATATGTGTATGTACATATAGAAGCATATGTGTTAATGTGTGGGCATCTCTGTGTGTGTTTGAACACAGTTTGTGTGAGGTTTAGTGTAGTAACCCTAGAATTTTTGTGTGCATATTTGCATGCACATATTTGTATTCGTATGTGTTTGTTCCCACTTCCTTCTGTGCTAGATCAGGTACCCCGTGGAGTTAAAGTGTCAGGAGTTTGAGGGACACATATGTGGCTCCCACACTCAATAGCAGCCTCACCCTATGAGGTACATTAAAGCTTACATTGTGGGTCTTCGCTTCATGTGGTTTTGTATCTCCTTTCTGCTCATTGCAAGAAAATTTCCCATTTGTACTCTTGGCCCATGCCTGCCAAGGAGATCTTTCTCCAGACTTCAGTCAACATCAGCGTTATGGATTCCATCGTGGCCTGGCACAGGTATTGTCTTCATCCTGTGTCTCCTCCCCAGGACCAGCAGGTGGTTGATCGCCATCTGTTTTCCCCTTGTACTCTCAGGTACCCTGTGGGAGCACAACCCACGAGTGAACGCAACCAATAAGTGGCATTCTTGGTGTCTTACTGACCTCATCTGCGACCTGGAGGTAGTGATGCCTCTCAGTCCTGGGGATGACACACGGCATCAAGCAGCACCCCCACCCCATGCTCTGGGGTCTGCAGGCACTGAGGCCTTTGACAGCCCCCTCCCCTGCCACGAGGAAGAGAAGAACAGCCATGGGGGTCAGAAGGTCCTGCTTGGCATCTCACTTCCACTTGGGTGAATCACCTCACACTGAGGCTTCATCTCCCTGACTGTGGGCAAGCTCCTCCGTGCTAGGGCCGGCCTCATAGGCTCCATAGGACCAGCATCACCCCGGGTTCCAATCAAAATTTGTTAGACAAAATTGCTTTCTGGGGACATGAGCACTGACCATAGCACGTGTGTGTGTGCAGGGAAGGTCCAGGAGCCTGGAGCAGGGAGTGGTGAGCAAAGCCGAGAGACAGGGCCTGGGGAGGTGGAGTTGCGGCTGAACAATGACTTCATGTGGCATTGGCTTTCTACTGTAGCCTATCACGTGGTTAGAAACCTGGCGGCTTAACATGGGCATCCCTTGGCGGCGGTGGCTGCTACAGAGCACATCCTATGGAAGATTTACATGGAATCTCCATTCCTGGCCTAACAAGGCTAGTATGCAGCCACTGGCCAGGCTGTGCTCTCATCTGGAGGTTCAGCTGGGGAACCTTTGCTTCCTATCTCCCTTAGGTCTTCCTTTGGAGCTCTAGAGCTGACCTCTCCATGTTCTTTCTGTCCCCTGACCAGTTCCAGCTCCTGGAAGCAGTCTGTAGTCAACACAGCTGCTTCTTACTTCTTCCTGTTCAAGAAGCACCCTGACCTAATTAAGTCAGGCCTTCCCAGGCCGAACTCTCCTTTCCTTTGCCCACACTTCAATTATGTCAGGAAAATCCTTTCACCTTTGCCCAAAATGTGTCTTAATCATGTCGACTACAGCACACCACAGATCCAGCTTCCACTCGGCTTATGGGAAGATATTGGGTTGGGCTTATGCACCCAGGCTGCCGGGGAGCTGTCATGATTCTGTGCAGGAGTGAGAAAGCTGTCTTGTCTGGCCATGAAGTCATGATTCTAAGCTGTCCTGCCTCTTCTGTTCCTGTCCTACAGCTAGCAAGACCAGAGGTGCAAAGATGGCTTGCGGCTTACAAGGAGTTTCACATGACCCTACTGGGAAGAAACTGCATTTTAACCAGGGCTAAAGAGGAAGCGGTGTGTTTCCATAGTGTAGCAGAATGTTCTAGAAGGAAGAGGTTGGGAGTAGGTAAACTGGGGCCATGGGCAGCATCCTTGAGTCTCCCACCCATGGAGGAAGAGAGGAGATCATGGTTGCAAAGGCTCCACTAAGCCCCAAGCACTTTGAATTCCATGTTTCACCGAGGCTCAGAGGATGCCCTTGATCAGTCTAAGGTCACAGCCCCAGGAAGTTGAGGCAGAAGCTGGAGTTCAGACAGACCTACTAAACCTCCCAGTCAGCTGATCTTCCCGGAAGGGCACCGTCCCAGCAATGCCCTGACTAATTCAAGACCATTGCTTTCTATTTACTTTTCTTGACTGAGTGTTGCCAAGTTCCAAGGCTGACTTCCAAGATGTGATTCTCCCGTCTCAGTGCTAGGATCTGTTTTATAGGGATAATCCACTCTGAATGTACTCCTGAGGAGGAAGGAAACAGGCTCTTCATATCCCAAGTAGGTCCCAAGTGTCAGCCTTGCCAGAGCAGAAGCTATGCGTTGTTCCTGACCACACTGCCAGGCCGAGAGATGCTCTCAGATAGTACATGATAGTCGATAAATATTTGTTCAAAGGATGAGGGAATAAACCCTTGACTCAAGGGAAACTTAACTCTAATATCAAAGCCAACTCACTGCTTTGAAAGTACATCCGCACAAAGCGTCAGTGAAGTCCAGGGATGATTCTACCTGCTTCGATCAACTGTCTTCTTCCATGCCCGCGCCGCTGGGTGAAATGACTCACATTTACAATAATGGCTAAGAACATTCGTGCACATGACGCCTCAAAGTCTGAGAGTGAATTAACCTGTAAGCACTGCAATCAACCCACAGGTGAGGACCGGTAAAGACTTGGCTGCTTTTCTAACCCCTACACAAGGGCGTACTGCGCCTGGGCCGGCTCCGGAGCCTGTGTGATTTGTGCAGTAGCTTCGGTGAAGCAGACTCGTGGGAGGGAGTTCTTCAGGCAGCGATGGTGTTGATTACCGGCTCACCTTCATGCTCATGCAGGAAGCTCTGATTGCAGCCAGAAAGGGACTAGGGGCTGGGCTTCCTTCCCTGCTGTCGGGGGTGGAGGAGGTCTGATGGCATTCGCCACAGCATCCCTTCTGATTACTCAGGCTGCTCCAGTCTGTGAGGGGATAGCTCCAGGAAGGAAATCTGACTGGAGCTGTCATTCTGTGTCCCGTGCCTCTGCAGGTGAACTCAAAGCAGAGGCGGGGTCCCTGTGAGGGCTCTTGGGATGGAGACACTCTTCTTGGTGAGAACAAAAGTAACCAGTGGATGTACTGGAGATTTTACTCCCCAGGGATTCTCAGGAGTCAGGAAACACGGGCCCAGCCTTTGTGCTTTTCTTTTGAGGGGGTCTTTTTGAGACAAAAGTCTCACTAATTAGCCCAGGCTGTTTTCCAACTTGTGATCCTTCTGCCTCTGTGACCTACGTGTTGGGAGGACAGTTCTGTATTGTCATATTTGGCATCAAGGTGATTTTACGGAAGAGCAAACATCTCACCTTTGAGCTCTCTCAGGTCCCTCTTTGACACTCTTTGTAACACTTACTAGCTTGTGAAGCTGGGTGAGCTATGCATACTTTATGACCTTTTGTTTGTTCCCAGGACCTCTGCAGAGCATGACTGGATCCTTTAGTGGGTTCTGGAAGAATGGTACCATCTTCCCTCACTGGGCAAACCCAAACAATAGTAACAAAGGGCAATGTGGTCTTACTGTGATCTGATCTGAGTGTGATCCCACATTTGGGTCGGAAATGTGATTACTCCCCACAACAGTAATGGGAGAAACAGCCATGGGAAGGTGCCCAACTTATGAAGGTTACACCTCTCTTTGTGGGTGGGTTCATGGCCACTCTTTAGGGATTTGAGACCACAGAACATCATTGGCTATCTCTCACTATGTGATGCTGTGTGCCACATCCCAGTGTAATGAGTGGGGCCGTCCCACTCCATTATGGGCTCGCTGGCCTCCATATTAAGAAGCAGACCTCTGTTCCTCATATGCTACCGGATCTGTAGTGCTCTGTCCTAAAAGACTACCTTTAAAATGTTGCAAATATTTATATGGAAAATCTTACAGAGCTATTCTAGGCAACCAGCAATGAAGTTGATAGCTTTATCAAAAATACTGGAGTTATGTGAACAATCCCTTCATCCAGGCCATGACGAAATTGGAAGTCCTAGTGCTGTGGCCTTGCAGAGGAGCCAGATTTGAGCAGAACTAGAGCTTGGACTTTCACAGGACAAAGTCACTGGTTATAGAGAAAGAGCACAGACAGGGCAGGGCCACTGCCCACTCTGGACACCAGGTTCCAGATAAGCCTTTTCCCCACTGCCTCCTAGCTTCACGTCACTTGCGCCTTCTGCCTTCTTGTATTGTGTTTGCCTTTCTTTCATTGACTTTAATCTCAGTCTGCCACTTGTGGTATCACTGCTTTGCCCTTTGGGGATTCTTCCTGCCACTCTGGACCAAATCATTAATACACTGGATCTTTCTGGAAAAAAAATATTTAAAAGGAGAACACCATTGTTTGCTTAGGTCAATATCCCCTTTTTCTTCAGAAGATGAATACAGCACAGATCCCAAACCAGTGAGGCAGAGGCTCTGCGAAAGGCAAGCTCCCTCCTGGCCTCCAACATTCACGAGAACCACCCAGAAGCCTGCCAAGCAACTGAGGAGTTTTTAATCATTGTTTCTCTCTTCTGGGGGAGAAAAAAAAGAGAGTCATTTGTAGCCTGGCAACAAAGATCTGTGTGTTCTTCCCCCATGCCAAGCCTTAAACACCACTTCCCCTCAGCTCAGTATAATGATGCTCACAGGACCCAACCAGGATGACTTGAGATGGCACAAGAGGGCTACAGACACCAGGAAATGCCAGTAGGCAGGAGGGCATGCTGCGGGAATTGACAGAGGAGTAGAAGCTGTGGGCTTTGGATAGAAACCTAAGAACTTATCAGAGAGCGCCATACTTCACCCAGCACAAAGGCTCCGTGCAGGCACAAGGCAGGGTTTCCTGTTAGGCACCTGTGGGATTGGGAGCCCAGGTGGCATGGGGTGCTGTGGAGAGGGTTGTGGGTGTCCTCTGGGCTGGATGAGCTCCTGCTCCCCACTGCTCAGGCTATTTTTTCCCTCTCACCCTCTGCCTCTGTCTTATTCTTTGATGCAGGTAAACAGACACCCTCATCTCAAGAGCCATCGTGAACTCAACTGGTTGCTGGAAAAGGCTATTGAGGCAAAAGAAGACACAGACAGGAAATACTCATTGGGAAGCGAGTGTGCCCCCACTGCTCTGCACCCCCATATCAGGATTAGATGGGGTAGAGGTTAAGGATGTGCACCTGGGGTTGGGCTTCCTGGACATGAATCCTATGTACCAACGGAATGGCTGTGGCAAGATAATTCACATTCTAAAATTATAAGTCCTAAGACCAGGAAGTCTCCTCCTTAGTGCTAATATAATGATAGCCATAATAATAATAATAATAATAATAATAATAATAATAACAATAAAATATTTGACAGCAGGCAAATAAAATTCATATTATAGCTATTACTTCAAAAGTATGTGGATGAGGCCAAATCATAGATTTTTTTTTTTCAGCTTTCTCTCCTCAGGTAAGCTGAAAAGTTTAGCTGAGATACCACACTGAATCTGTTTAGCTGAGTTCCTGACACCTTGTTAGTTCTATGTCTAAAATGAGGCTGATTTGGTGACTCAGTGGCTGGGCACTTGCCTGGCACCTGGGAGGCCCGGACTCCATTCTCAGATCTAAAAAACAAATTAAAATATTGTCTCTGTGTTCTCTCTGAATGCAGGAATGAAGGCGTGTTTAATTCTAAGCTGTTATACATGGCAGATATTCAGCAAGAAGGGAGAAAAAGCAAAGAGGAGCAGTTAGTCAGGGGTGACGCAAACCGGGCCAGCCTGAGGACCACCTGACACCGTGAACTCCTTGCTATACTGTATCTAGAAAGATGCACCTGTGTGCTGTGAGATCCTGTCAGAAAACTGTAACCTGGGAAGTGGGTGAGGGTGACTACGGGGCCCTCTAGAGAACACCTGTCTGCAGGGATTGGCCAGTGAAGACAAAAGGAAAGACCTAAGAAGAGCCATGGACCAGAGAAGACTACAGAGACATGACACCTGACATAACGTGTAAAGCTGGGCCAGCTGACTGGACCCGGGACTGTGAAAAATGGGCCGGCCAGATTAGTTGGACAATGGGAAAAATTAGAACATGGTGTGCAGTCTAGGTCATGTTTGTATATTGCTTTTGTTTTAATCGGAGCACTGCCTTATGGTTACTAAAGTGAGTGTCTCCAGTCTTACAAAACTTATTGACACAGTGTACTTGGATTTATGTCCAAATTAGGGGAAAAGATGTCTTCAAATTCTCAAATGCTTCAAAACTTGTATATAATATATAATTATGTGCAAATACAGGACATTTTCTGAACCATATTGATTCAAAATGTATTGTACACATGTGTCAATATTTTATAATTATGTATACATAATTTTCTGAAATACATGTGTGGGCATATATATGTAAACCCACAGACATACAGTGAGAGGGAAAGAAATGAAAAGAATATGACTCAAAGCTACCACCATTCTGGTCCTTTACAAGTTTGCCCATTTGGGGAGATGACCAAAACCTTATTTCGGTATATTTCTTGGTTCAGTACACAATCCTGAGATTCATACATATAGCTGGGAAGAGAAGGGGTTTGCTCACTTTCATGGTTTTGTAGAATTCTGTTGCTTCTGTACCCACTTGCATGCATATGGGTTGTTTCCTCTTTTTTATTTTTAACACTTCTGAATGCTGTGGCAGAGAGCATACATACATGCTTGCATATAAGCTTGTGTGTTGGTTTGTAGGAGCAGAGTCATTAGCTTATCTAGTGGATTCTGACAACCTCCCTAATTGTTTGGGCCATTTTTTTTTTTACTTCCACCAGCAGTGCTGAGGAATTCCCGTTGCTCTGCACCCTTGTTAACACTTAGTCTTGTCAGCCCTTGGAGTTTAACTGTTCTAGAGTGTGTATGGCAGGATCTTATCACAGACTTAATTGTCATTTCTCTACTGACTAGTGAAGCTGAGTTCCTTCTGTCTGTTGACTCTTTAGGTTTGTGAAGTGGCCATTCAAACCTTCTGCCCATGCTCCTGTGAGCTGTCATGTCTTATTAAGTTGGAAGGCTATATATTCTGGGTACAAGTCCTTTGTCACACGCACTGTGAATGTTCCCTCTTGTTCTGTGATTTGCTTTTCCAATTCTTCACGATATTTCTTGGTTAAGTTTTAATTTTCATGACATACAAATTATTAGGGTTCCCTCCCCCAAAGCCTACAGTTTAATCTTTATATTGCTCTTAAAAGATAAAACTGAAGCAACTGTCCGATGTAAAATCAGGTGGATCCTAATTCTAGATTCCAGTGGGAAGGGTCCTGGAGTCAAACCCCATGATCTCTCTCCTGCTTGAGCCCTTGAGGGAAGGAGGTGCTTGGGGACACTGTTATAGGACCTTGGCACCTAGAATTCTAAAGTCTAGCCTACTTCTGCTGGCTCCTATCCTAGGGCCACAGGACCCTTTGTCCAGGCACAGGTGCAGTCCCAAACAGAGAGAGTTGTACTCTGAAGGACAGAGATGCAGGCATGGAAACAATGTTTCAGATCAGGCCACAGGCAGCTGCAAAGGTGGGCTCCAGGGGTGACGATCACTGTGCTAGGAACTTAGAGGGAGAAAGTTTGCGGTGGTGTCCCAGAGGAGCAGACTGTTAACATAGGTTCTGTTGGCTGCATGGGAGCCTCCCAGACAGACAAGGTATAGAAAAGCATTTCAGACAGACCCAAGAGCCAGCTGGACCTGGAGATTTGGTAAATTACTGTGTAGGGTAAGATGTGAGAAAAGGCCCAGTTGCTTCCCATTGCAACCCACAAAGACCTGGCTAATACGTCCTGGTGCTGGTGATGATTCACAGGTCCTGTCATGCTGAAAGATGGGGGTGGGGTGGAGGTACCGCGCAGTCCAGGAAGGTCCTGTAGAGGAGGCAGCCCTGAGGCTGACCAGGAGTACCTCTGTCTTTCAGCTGCTGTTTCTAGGTAAGCACAGGCCTGCTCACCCCTATGTCTCTCACATGTGGAAGAAAAGCTGTGCAGCACTGAGCAGGCCAGACCCCCAAGTTGCTCTAATTTGAAAAAGTGGCGCATAAGAGAAAGATGCCAGGCAATAGAGCTCAGGTGAAGGGTTTTGGTTTGTTTTGGTTTGGTTGGGGGAAAGTAAATGGGAAAAGGGGATAAGGGAGAGGGGACCAGCCTTTGGGAACAGGAGTGGCAGAAGAGGAGAGATAGATAGATAGATAGATAGATAGATAGATAGATAGATGGATGGATGGATGGATGGATGGATGGATGGATGGATGGATGGAT